CCCCCACCCCCACCCATCCACCACAACTCCCCTACCACCAGCACCACCTCCAAACAAGCTTCCTGGCAGCGGACAGCACCACCAATCATCACTCGGTTGCCAAGGCAACCTCCCCCAGCAACAGCCGTCACTATATCATAGCAGTAGCGGAGAGGACGTGGGGAGGAAGAGGGGGGATGGCCGAGTCGTGGCTCTCAGCATTAAAGAGAGAGTGAGAGAGAGTGAGGGGAAGAAAGAAAAGAGGAGGAAAAAAATGGAGAACACACAGCTGCCCTTCAGCTACGTCGCACCGCACCAGCTGCTCCAGTCGCTGCTCTCTCTCTCTCACACACACACACACACACACACACACACACACACACACACACACGTCAGGCTGCTGAGATCCTGTATGCGCTCCGGCTTTGTCTGCATAACATTGCTGCTGGGCTTTCTCTTCATTCATTGATACATCTGTGGCCTCCGTGTATTTTCCTCATGTTCTGTCCTTGGATGCTTCGCTAACAAGTCTGGCTGTACCGTGCATCTGGCAGCGGGTCCATCTGTTAGGTTTGGGAGCAACAGATTGCTAATGTGGAACTTTGTTTCTTTGATTGTAGAAGCCACGGTCGGGGGACACTTTCTAAGCAACTCGTTTTCTAGGTTTAAAATCCACCGAACTGAGAGGTTTATTACACAGATGAACACAAGGGCACAAGAGATTTAAAAAAAACATGCTACAGCTGCTGAGATTTTTAATTATATTTATGATTTTTATTTATACGGCACTGTTGTTAACAGAGTTACAGAGTGCGTCACTGAATGAAGTTAAAGTATTATGGTGACGTTCCAGAAATACAACTGAAGACAAGGCAGAATAACAAAATATTAGACAGGATTTAAAACACACTACTTTAAGCCTTTTGATAAAATAACATAATATGATGCCATTTAAATGAGAAGTTTGTATTCTGGTTTGATTGGGCAGACTGGTCCACTAATTGGGAGCACTAATGGCAAATTATCTTTGTTTGCTAGCTGAGTTGCTTTCACCAATTTTAGCCCTAGATATACCTTTTATTTAATATTCTCTGTTTCCTGTTTGTGATCTCACCACTCAGTGAGTAGTTGGCGAGTGTTTGCAGGCAAGTTGGCATCTTACCTGAAAACTAGGATTAGCAGGTGAACCTAAATTGCCCAAGGGTGTGAATGTTTGTTCCCTGTGTTGGCCAGGATAGTTTCCAGCTCCCTGCTGTATAAAAGCTGTATAAGCGTTTAAGAAAATGGATGGATGGGTTCTAAAGTAGGAATGTACTCATCTAGTCCAATCCCGACTCAGAGCTGGATTCAGTATAAGGTGGTTTGGCTTCCTAGAGTGCTTAGGTGTAGCAGAGGGTCCGCTTTTCTGTGTGGTCAGGTGAGACGGTATTGCTGAAAAACTCTGACAGCTGTGATGTTGTCACTTGTCCGGTGCTCATTGGAAAAGCTTTTGTTGCACTATTACGGTAACGAAATGTGTTGACACTGACGTCAGTAGGATTTCACTTATCAGCTCCCCTCTGCAAGTGAGTTTGTGTGCATGTGTGAGGAGGTGGGCACACAGTGAGAGCAAGTAAAGGTGAGAGCAGCATGCAGTCACCTGATGATTTTCAAGCAGCATGTTGCGCTATCTGCAAATTAGAGACAGTCAACACTGCACTACAGTGCACCTTAGCACGTGCTCTTTTATTTGAGTTTAAAGAATTATAAGAGGAATGAGTGCCAGTCTGCGGCTGTCTGCTTATTAAATTCAGGTTTTAGATCAGCACTTACAAAAAAAGGTATCAGGTATAAGAAATGAAAAGTTCTTGCAGCGTTTGAATGCAAAATTATTATTAATTTATTAATAATTTGTTATTGATTATTGCACTGCAGAGGCTGGTGAGGAACAACATTTCGTTTCAGCTGTGGATTTCTGTAAATACCATGTGAAATGACAATAAATCCTACAAACTTATATTAAGTTAACTTAACTGAAAAATGAGAAAAAAAATAGGAAAGCAATCTCCTTATGTCCACAAGAAATAGATGGCCATTTGACGATTGTGTTATCTTATTGGTTAAAACAGGTACTGATTTGCAGTTACAGAAAAATGTTAAAAATTTGGTGATTCCCACCTCTACGAAATACAGTGAAGGCTCCAAACACTGGACCCTTTGGTAGTCTGGCTGGGGGCCACAGGTCCTTTGTTTGACATCCTTGATGTAGGCCATCCATTCTTGTTGATGAATGCAGTGAATATTGTGGATTGTTTTAAAAAATGTAACTAGAATTACACTTCAGCATGCTTTATCATATGTTTTACCAAAAATATAAAATATTGCTTAGTTCCTTAGTCGTGAAGTATCAGTGCTGTCTGTATTAAAATACACACCATGTCTGATGGTTCGAGCTCACCGGCCTCTCCCTGTTGTTTTGCAGGAAACCCCTCGTCACTTGGATGTGGAATGGGCGCTCTACAGCCACATGTCAACGCCGGTGGAGGTCAGATGTACCCGCAGCAGGTCCATCAGGGCATGCAGCAAGCAGTGGTATCTCATCCTGCCTACCAGGGGCAGCAGCACTTCTCCGACAACCCGCCCTACGCTGACAGCAACAACGCCAACTCCGGCTCCATGGCCTGCCTCTACCAGAACTACCAGGTGGAGCAATGAGTCATGTTTTGATCTGTGCAGTATTTCAGATGTTTTAGATGACATTTCTAATCACAATGGCCCCTCTCTGTATCCACAGCAGGGGATGCTGCCACACCCACAATTTGGGGAGGAGCAGCAGCCCCAAGGTGAGGGACTTCCTGCGGGTACGCCTAGCTCTGACAGAGCCCCCGGCGGAGGGCCAGAATCTGTGGACGCCATCTACAGAGCTGTTGTGGACGCAGCCAGCAAAGGCGTGCATGTAACCATCACCACGACAGTGAGCGGGACAACGCAGGCGAGTCCAGTGCACGCCCTCAGTGCCATGAGTGCCTTCACTGCCTCCATAAGGGAACCTGTCAACCTCCCCCAGGCAGTCAGCGCAGTCCTGCATGGGCACCAGGAAGGGGAGACCATACCCCAGCAAGCCAGAGTGCGGCAGGTGAGGCCTGGGCGGGGTCAGAAGAACATGGATCCAGGGAAGAGCACTCCGGATGGCCCTGAAGCCAATGATTACTTCCGTTCTCCTGGACGCGGGACTCCCAGGGGGCAGTGGGATGGGGACACTCATCATGGGGGAGGCTTTGACAGTCAAAACAACAACAACAACGCCTGGGGTGGTGAGGAGTTCCTGGAGTGCTCGACCCAAGTAAGGAGTAGTCCCTGCATGGAGAGACCTGCCAGTCTGGCCCCTGCGCCACCCTGCCCCACCGATGGGTCCAACGACCACGGCCTGGTGATGGCCCACGATAAGGCCTACCTCGATGATAGCTTCCGGTTCAACAACTGCGGTCGGGCACCAGCTAACTACAAGGAACGTCTGGAGCAGACGGTGGAACGTTGCGCCCATCTCAACGGCACCACGCCCCACTTCAACACCCGGGGCTACGGAGAAGTCCTGGGCCCTCCACGGCAGGATGACGACCAGTCACCCAGCTCCTCCACGAGCCTGGAGGGCCCTCTGGCTACAGCCAAAGACTACAGCCACTACAACGGCCACTTCAATGGAATGGCGCCCAGCCCTTCGGACACGAAGAGCCTGAGCAGTGAGGAGGACCTCCGGCAGCCAGACTCGCCCTCGTCGGAGCTGCTCCACTACCGGTCCAGGACCTTCAACATGGGAGAGCTGGTCTGGGGCCAGCTGAAGGGCTTCCCGCCGTGGCCTGCAAAGCTGGCCGGGGATGAGCAAGTGCACAGCGCTGCCATGCAGCTGCGGGAGCAGGCCAAGGTGAGGGGCCGGGGTAGTCTGTCACCACCTGTCACCATTTTGCCAGCCAGCGCCTCAGCCTGAGGAGGCTATGAGCAGCAATCCCAGTATTAAAAGTTTCAGCGAGTCTTGGATTACAATGAATTATCTTCCAATTAAAGGGAGTTGCTTGCCAATAAGTCGAGAATAACTCGTATTTGACTGTAACTTTCAAATATTGCAGCTTTGAAAAGTCAGAAGGAAATAGAGGTTTTTAAATTTCTGTCCAGCGGCCATCGAGGCAGATGGACTCCAAATTACTCCAAAAACACATCCACGGCTTTACCTGCCAAATCAGAAGTGCAGAACAGAGCATGTCCGACAAACGGTGACTGCCAAATTATCCGCTAGACGCGCCGAAGTGATAAACCGGAGTTCAAATTGAGCATCAGTTCCTGGTGCTTGGTGGGAAATTTTCAGTCTGGTGCTGAATGTGCTCAAATTGATTCCACTTTTCTTTGTGCAGGTAGAGCCAGAGAAGCTGAAAACACTAACTCATGACTTGGAGGCATTCGACCGCGCCGCCAAAAGAGGCCTAAAGTAAGTAACCTCACCCAGCACACTGGTGCTTCATTAATAATATAAACCCACCTTTGCTGTAGTTTGAGCTGAGCGAGGCCTTTTCGTGCTTCCTCTGATGATCTTTATCCAAAGTGGCATTGACACCTAGTGGTTAAAGATGGTGTCCTGCAGCAAAGGAGAGGCAAACATTTGTTTAAGTGAAACAATAAAACTTTAAACGCTTTGGGGCAAAAATAGACCATTAACCCTGAAGTGACTGAACTAAAATGACAGAGGTAGAGTCGGAATACTTTATTCAGTGGCTCTGTTTCCACAAACTACACATGTACAGCTTCTTTTTTCCAGGGTAGATATTAAAAACTGTTCTAGTCTTTTATTTCAATAATCCAAAATTAAAGCTTTAAAGGTCTGTTTAAGTGACCTATGTGTTACAGCACACTCGTATCATTTTAACACCCAAATATGGACACATTGGAGGTTCTGTAATCCTCCGAACAACAAATAATGATGGAAGTCATCACAGTGTATACTATAAACTTGTGTCAAAATATTAGAAGAGTGTAAAATTACAAAAAGATCAAATAGTATATAAAATCATATACTTCCCTGTAACTTCTAAATTATCTTTCCTGCACTGCTTATTCTTTTGGCTGCTCCCGTCAGGGAATCATCTGCCTCTATCTCACCCTAACGCTAGCTTCCTCCTGTGATGCCACCCCTCTGAATGTCCTCCTTCACTACATCCATGAACCGCTTGGCACCATCTCCAAACCATATAGCAGGTCTCACTCCTGTATTACAACAGTGGGACATTTTCAGTTAAAGAGCTATGAGAAGTTCATTAGAAGCATAAATAAACACGTTGGTCACATGGAGTTGAACCAGCTGCTTCTCTGGTCAGTTTCCTCATCCTGTAGATGGATTCAAGTGTAATAATTATTTTTTAAGCTACCTTTTTGTTGTAGTTTATAATTGTAAAGTTTTCTTCTGCTTAAAAGTAAATAATATAAATATTGTCTGACAGACCGGGGAAACTGAATAATCACTTGGAAGCTGCTATCCACGAGGCCATGAGCGAGCTAGACAAGATGTCGGGCACAGTGAGTATTTGCGCTTTTCCTCTCTTCTCATGCACTGCTGTTTCCCCCGCATTCACCACCACACCGTTTCCTGTGTGTGTGCCATCAGATCCCGTCGAGGGATCGTCAGGTGAAGCTCCCCAAGCCGAAGAGGAGGAAGATATCCAGATAACATTGAATGTGTTGGCCCAAGAACGTCCTCAGAGCCTTTCGGAGACTTTGTCCGTTCAGCCTTGATGCGATCTGAGCTCTCTAACAGGTGCTACACGTGGACTTTCAGTGGTACATCGTTGTTCCATGATATCAACTTGACTTAATGACTGACCACAGAAGGTGCTGGAAATTCCAATCACCACTACAGTTTATAGACTGTAGGAAAAAACATGAATACAGAAAAACATCAAAAACGGTTGCAATTTGTCTACAGCTCACTGAATTAACTATTTTTTTCTAGTATAAGATAGTAAAATAAACAAAAAAAGCTACAAGCATTACCTTACATATTTAAGAAAAATAGACAGTCCAAATATTTCTGATACATTTTCAATATGTATATAGATAATCCTGAAATTTCATGCTATTAAGAATTGTATGTAAATATTGTACAATGTCATGTACAACCGTACCTAATGCACATTTTATCTTTTATTGTACAAAACAAAGCAGAAGTGTACCAATGTCTTGGTTTCTATTCAGAAATGCGGTCGCATATGGCCGCATGCATAGGATAAATAAGAATACAGCCTAAAGCTTTTATATGATGAACTGTAAGATGTGCTGTTTTCTTTTTTCTTTCTTTTTCTTTTCTTTGTTGTTTTATTTTTGTAAGGGAACAGCGATGAAACTGACATGAGCTCACCATAACAGTAGTCACTCCAGCTAAGTGTTCATTTGTAATGGGGAGAAAAAACAGTTCAAAAAACACAGAATGAACTTTACCAGCAGAAAGTGTTCAGTGTCCCACCTCACCCACACCCTGTATCCCTACCCTCCCACACACCCACACCCTGTATCCCTGTCCACCCACAGCCTGTATCCCTCCCACCGAGACCCCAGCCGGCTCCACCAGTCACCACGTTGACAGGAAAGTCGTGTTACTTGGTCTGGTTCTGGGTTTTTCAGGTGTTGTAATTTATGAACAAAAACTTTTTTTGAGTGTTTTCAGAAGGAAAAATCCACTCAGACACTTAATTTTCCAAAACCTCCACAATGATTGTTTTTAGAAGAGGTTCATTCATTTAAAGTAAAAATGATGGGGGAAAAGTCCTAAACATGGGTTGTCCAGCTTCTGAAACGGCAAGACTTTTTTTTATGTTGTTGTAAATTAAATGCTATTAATTAATGTTGGACTTCAGAAGTTGAGCTCTTTCTGCCAGCGTGCTTACATGCACTGTAGTTAACTCCGCTGACGTTACATCTGCTGGCTGTGCAGAGTTTTTAACTGGAACAAGTGTACATTGCAAAACAAGTTTTAGCCCATTTTAGGCTACTGAAATGATGAATTGATGGATATTGGTGGTCTTGGTGCATCTCTGAAAAACATCCCTGATTTAATGATTTCAGTGGTTTGGGGCTGAGGTTTTTTGTGGTTTCTGAGTTGCGGCACAGAATAACGGAATGAGGAACCAGTTTTGAGGCTGCGTAGCGTCGGGTAGCAAGTGAGTTGGGGTTGTTTCAGTGGCAGGAGATTAATTTTGAACAGAATTTCAAGGGGTGCATGAGTGAAGTGTCTGGATTTCTTAGGTAGCCCATCCCAAATTTAATGTCATGAGCAGTTCCAACATTGGGGTTGGCCATTTTTGGTTGCCTTTGGACCGTTGGTCTTTGGTTAGCATTTATAGATTTGGCACCAGATAATATGACCCTGAGCTATCTTGTCTTGTCTTAGATGCCTTTAGCTTACCTTTAAACAGCTTTGAGAACCCCACATAGGGTTGCATTACACAGTGACACAGTAGCTTGGGGTAGTATCAGTGAACACAATTTCCAATAGCAGCCCAGCCCATAATCTCTGATGTCAGTGGTTCCAGCTTTGTGACTGGCAATTTTGCAGTGCTGTTGGGAGTGGCAGTTTTTATTTTGTAAAAATCTATGGAATAGGCGTCAGATTTGGCGTCAGCTTGATGGATGTAGCGCAGCCACTTCTGCCTTGTTGTGTCTTGAGGACCAGCCCGCATTTTGACAGTTTTAAAACAAATGTAATAAAGTATTAGGTTGTACAAGTTTAAGTAACTTCTTACAGTAGCTTCTCCCACCAGTGGGTCCAAATTTGAGACCGGCATTTTGTTTTAGTGTTTGTTTTCTGTTGGGGGGGCGGCATGCTAATGCCTTGCTAATGCCAATGTTTTTGGGATCTATACAAGTTGTTTTTTGAGGGGCATGCATCTGTAATACACTGTAAAACAAGAGGTAGTAGATACTGGGGGTTGAACAAGGGTTGGGGAAAGTTCTCTGGAACTACAATCATAATGGAAAGAATCTGTGTGCTGTCTGTTTGAAATCACTGTGCATTTCATGTAGTCTCAGACATCTGCCGCTCCAGGTTTGGGACCAGTATTTTGTGTTGCAAATGCATAGAGCTGGTCTAGATTGGGCACTAGCACCTACTAATTGGGAAATATGTATCAGTGGTCTAATTAAGACTTTTTCTTCTATGTCCTCTTTTATGAGGTTTTGGTTGACATTATTTTAAATCTGCAGATGGCATAGCTGGATGCTCTGTTGGCATAGGGTTAACTTCATGTCACTCGAGTGCTTACATGTAAAATGGCTTTTTTCAGGAGAAATCTTTTGCTCCCTGATTACTGAAACCATAAAAGTCCATCGCTACATGCATATAAACACACTGTGAGATGTTTAGAGACTCATCCTGGTCCATTTTCAGTATGATGAGTAAAATAAGCCCTGCTCTTAGATTTGAAAGCTTTAACTCTCATTGTTGGAAGTCAAAAAACCATAAACCACTACATCTGAAAATGCAGACAATTTCAGTTTGCTTTGTGTTGTAATCACAAACTTTGGCCAGTTATTAACATGGGTGGATTTTTCCTTCAGCAACAAGAATCACAGGCTGCATCGAACGATCATGTCATTGATTGTCGCGATCATATTCACATGCTTGTTTGTACAGTGACTGTTTTTATTTTTGTTCTCCACGTGTTTTTACCCACAGCTTTCAGTAGAGTAACTGACCTCCGAGGCATCTGAAGCAACACTAACTGGGCTTTCCAGAGCAGTGAAAGCGCTTTTATTTTATTTTGGTTTTCCATTTTAGAGGCCTTGTTGTTTGTTTTTCATATTGATGTAAATTATTTATGTACAGTACTCCATATTTATTTTAAGCTTTACAAATATGCTAGATGGCAATAATACTACCAAGAGTTGAGAACTCAAGCCTTATATGTGTATATGTATGTTTTCTTTCCTTTTTTAACAAGTGAATTGATCATGTATTCAGAGTCCACTACAAACAAAAAGGTCATATTCTGTCTTATTTAAGAAGTGAACGTTACAGATAAGTCTTTTTAATTACAGTGAGGTTTTCTAGTCTTCATGTTTTTACTTGTTACAGATTGTGTCATGGTAGAGAAAAAGAGCATCTTATTTATGAATATGCACATCTGATGTTGGTAATAAATGCAGTTTGAACACTACAAGTTATCAGTGTTTGAAGCTGAGAAGAATCATCATTCGATCGGTCTGACAGTATTGGAAACGGATCAAAACCACCGGCAATCTCTACGGAATAACCAAGTGCAATATTACCAATCGATGGCAAAGATCAACACTGCGAAACACTGCATCTCTCATTGTTTGGACTCTTCTGTGTTGCCTCTTTTGCTTTTCTTTCTTTCTTTTTTTCTTAATAGTCATCTTTTCTGATGCTCTAACCTGAGAGCAATGAAGTAGAAATTGATGTGTAGCTTTATTTTTACACGCCAGCCACAACCGTTAACCCGATTAGCCTCAAAGTTTGAACTAAAATACTGTTACTTGAACTTTATACGCAAGAACTCTAACAAATAAAAAGTTAAAACCAAATAATACACTACTGAAAGAACAGATTCCCCTTTGTCAGCCTCTAAAACAAGGGGTGCACCATTATTGGCCAAATATCCATACTGACACTGGTATCGGCCAAATATCTGCATCTTTGGTAGATTTACAGATATTAGAGGCCAATATTTTGCAGCAAGAACTAAAAAGACCTTTTAAACAAATTAGTTATTTTACCTGACATCAAGGGTGAAATTTTGTGCAACAAAAACTGAAAAAAAAAAATATATATAATTGCCCTTTGAAACATCCATTTCTGTGCTTTCCAAATGAAAACACTACTATGACTACATATCCATAACAAATAGAGCCTTTAAGTCAAATCAAATTCCTGCATTTTTAAGTCAAGTTGTACTGTATTTTCCAATGAGATGTCTCTCTACCTTATTGTGTTTTTGTGCACACTGAAAAAAACTGAGAATGTTTTTTTTGTTTTTTTAAAAAAGCTAATTTTTTTTCTTTGTTTTTCTCTTTTGTTTACTGTTAAAAATATCAGAATCAAACGCGAACACAAGGCATTGTTGTTACCTTCACAGCGGCAACAACAAGCAATACCTGTGAAGAATGTGTTTAAAAACACGTCCCCGTTATTTTCAGCGTGCACCCTTTTGAGAGTCGAGGTTTTGTTATTTTGTCTTACTGTAAACCTTCGGAGGAGATGTCCTCCGGCCGTTTTCCAAAATGTGACGTTCGCTGTGGAGAACATGTGAGCTGTTTCGGTAAAGTTCATTCTGCCTCGTCTCCCCTTCTCTCCACCTCTTTTAAAAAAATAAAAAACAAAACAAATTATGTTTTCTTTTTTGGTTTTTGTGCAATGACATGCAGGTTCCTGCACTTGTGACCGGAACCCCATGTGTTACGGATCTGTTATTGGTTTCTTGTAATTCGTGGTCAAGAGTTCAAAGCATTTTTTGTGTTTGAGGTGGTCCGTGCAGTCTATTTTACCCTCCTGTCTCCTTCCACCTGTGATTGTGTGAGGTGTGAGTGTGAGTTTTATTTTTTCCAGTGTTTGTTTCTGCTCTTTAAATCTCCCATCCTTTCGTTGTCAGTATTTTGTTTCTTCAACTTGTAATTAAGTATATATTTTCTCACTAATATATACTTTACAAAAAATAGACCTGCGTGAAGTATGATGTGCACTTGATTGCTCTTGTTTATTTTTCTTTATTTGCATTAATGTGGGCTAGGGATAGTTTGTCAGAGTCCATTATTTTGAGATTGTTTGGACTTTTTTTAATGGTTTGATGTACGCAGCATTTTTTTTGTAAATATTGTGAAACATTACAGGTCATGCAGTGATGTAACATTTTGAAAAATGTTGCACAGATGTTTAAGATATTAAAAACATGGTCACTCTTACTTGAATTATCTGATTTGTTGTGCATTTTTATGCCTTTTTGTGGAGGCCGGGTGCTTTTCCCCCCCAGGTTTGTTATTAAATATTTCTAAGAGGAAATTACTGAGAAAGTTTGGAGTAAAACCACGAGTCTAGTTTAAAGCTTGTTGTACACTGGCCTCTAGTGGAAAAGCAGGAAAGCACACTTATATGCAGGGTTTTTAACATTAATATTAAATATTACTCTTTAAATATCTGCTGTTTGTCACTCTTCAAATTGCCCCCAAATTTACCTGAAACCACACACACAAAAAGCCCTTTTGCTTGAAAAACATCCAGCTACTAGACCTACTCAGCAGCCCTAGACCTCCTTTTTTATTAAATGTGGATTAAATGCTTATGTTTTTCAAAGTAGTCACAGAACATTTAGTCACATTTTTCACGTGGGGAATACTACATAAAGTTTAAATATAATCAAAAGCTTCAGAGCAGTTCTTAAGAAGGAAGTGAATATTAGCTTTTACTAACTTGGACACTGTTCAAATTTTGTTATTTCACAACAAAACAGTGACTTTAATGTAATTTAATTGTGTTTCTATTACTTATTTTGGTGCAGTGTGAATGGAGCAAAAGCGCTTAAACTTGAGAAAATACTGTTAAAAGTAAAAAGAAAATCTATTTCCTCCTCAACATTTTCCAAAGCCATGTTTTGGGGTCTGCCAGGCTGATTCAGACCCCCCGACCTTATGTTTGATTCCCCTACTTTATTCTATAGCTATATTAACATAGAAAGGATTAAAGTATTTATTTTAAGATATACAATTATTCTTTAAGTAATGATTAGCAATAGCTATTTAGTCAGACATGGTTGCTTGCTTAAATTTGAACCTGTGTGAAGCCTATTTAAAGCTATTGTGAAGCTTTACCTATGACTAGCTTGTACATTTGTCAAATTATTTACTAGTTAATTGGAAAAAAATCTTTAACATATATATAAAAAACATATTTTTACAGTTGAAGAAAAAAAGTTGATTACCTTTTATTCTATATTCATATTAGCTTATAAAGTATCAACATATATTTATTAAAAATGTAAAGTTGAGGTAATGATTATCTAGCTAGGTAGGAAAGGTTGCTTTCTCAAGTCTGATTTTTATCATCTGTGTAAGGCTAATGTTAGCTAAACTGGGATTACTTTAGATGCTTGTTGAACCGACACCGGCCAGTTGGGAAAGAAATTACTATTTTTTTTAAATAAGTTCTTTTTAGAGGACCAAATTGTTGGTTTACCTTTATTCTACATCTATATTAGCTTATAAAGGATTAATATGTATACAGTTAGCGTAAGGCCCTTCTTTCTATATCTAAACTGTAACTTAAGCTAATGATTAGCCAGTGTTATTTGCAGCTAAAATGTTTACATTTCCAAAGATGCAGATAGATAACAAAAAGAAAAGTTATTAAATATTCTAATTTGCCTAAAATATAGGATTTAACACTTATTTGTACTGTATATTTAAAAAAATACAATAAACTGTTGATTTAAATATGAAGAAACATGAAGATTCATATAGAGCAGGTTGAGTGCTCGTGCATGTGACTAACTCAGTGATGGTGGTGCTGATGTGAGGTGAAGGCACGCGCCGCGAAATCGTGCGAGCGCGCGCCCCGATCACCGGTAAAAGACGATGCGGCTGTGTGCGCGCACACCCTCCCCGGACTCGGTGTCTCTGCAGAGCGGACAGCTCCCCGCTCAGTCCTCCTCCGCCGTTGACAACCTAGTAAAAACGCCACGTTTCCGCGCGGCTGTCGATGCCACAGCCGCGGGGCGAGGAGGCCTGTAAGCTCCACCGCAGTCCGAGCTCCAATCCGAGACGCAGCACTGCGGTTTGTCCGCTTTGGCCATGGCGCAGCGGAGGAGGCTCAGATGAAGGACGCCCTGCGCATCGGCTAAAAAGCTGGAGGAACTTTCCTACTGCTGAATTCCTCTGAACACAGATGTGACACTCCTTTAGAACAGGAAAATTCTCGACTAGCTACAGAGACTAAACCGACCAGGCCCCACTGGAGGTCCCTAAACCTCCCTTTGGGCACCACCGGACAGAGGGGGCGGTGTAAACATTGGTAGGAGCAGCAGAAGCCATGGCAGACGCTGCGGAGTGCGGGGTGAGAGTGATGTGCCGCTTCAGGCCCCTGAACGAGGCCGAAATTACCCGAGGAGACAAATACATCCCCAAGTTCAAAGAGGACGACACCGTGGTCATAACGGCAAGTCTGCACACACTGCTGTCACCTCAATGCTGTTTACCTGTGTATGTGTGCGCGCCCAGTGATTTAACACGAGTGCTGAGCCATACTGCAAATTTCGTTGTGATCGATATTACCGATACTAATATCGATACTGTTTTAACTTAAACATTTTGTACTATATGTACTACGGGCTATAAAAAACTAGAAATAAAAAAGGTTAAGACATTTTTCATAGTGCATATTTGAGGTTTTTTGGGTTTTTTTGTTTCGTTTTCACAAAAAATATGTATAAATAATTTAATATGAATCAGTAGGCTTCATACTGAACTTAGAAGATAGAAGCAACAGAGGAGCATCCTATTGCGCTAGTATCGATCTGGCGCCAATACTAGCGTTGGTATCGATACTGTCGATATATGGATCGATCCATCCACCTCTACCTAATGCCAAATACGCAGTAAGTCTTTGGTGGTACAGAGGAGCGTTACAGCAGCTTGGAAATATTTACTTACTATAAAGACTGCCTCTTTACACCTGTATGATGTTACTTATGTTATTATAACTGATCAAAACTGTCTGATGCACTCATATGTAACATCTCAGTGGTTCTCAGTTGGATTCAGCTCTATGGGAAGTGCCTACACCCATCAGTAGGAATCCTAGGCCTACTGCACCAGTATTAGGCCTGATGTGGGTGCATGTGGGGGACTTTATGGCCCTCCTCTGCAGACAGTCAAGGATATTTTTATTTGTTATACAGTCAGCAGAAATCACACACAAATAAATACATAGTGAGGTATTTAAAAGACCAGTGACAGCTGGGAGTCTACTGGTCCTACATGTTGATAGGCCTATACTGTATATATAGCCAGACGTAAGCCAGCATAGACACTGCCTCCTTCAAAAGCCACTTTATAATACAGCCTGCTGCTAAGTGTGTGATTCAGTATGTTATTAGAAATTATAGTATAATTTTATTTACAGACAATATTTAAAGGTAGGCACATTAGAATACATGTGTATCAGGTTTTTACAGGAACAACTAAGTAAATTTAGTACTATGTGAGTAATGTTAAGTTCTTTTAAATGCTGCGTAAGTAATTTTTGGTACTTTTAAGTGAATGTAATTTTCGCATCAGTCATTTTTACTTTTGAGTCTATTTAAGTACTGCATGAGTAATTTGTAAATGTAAGTACTTTTAAGTGAATGTAAGTACTGTGTAATATAATATATAGTATAATATGCATGATATGGCCTGCCCCTCAAAAAGTACAGCATACTTATGATATAAGGGGGGCAAATAGTGTTGGCATTTCTGTTAAATTGCCAGAGAATAACGCGGTAATTACAGAATAATTATCACCTTTAAGTATTTGTAGGTAAATGTAATTGCATAATAATTATAAATAAAATACACTGAAATTCCATTTAATTACAGAACAATTACTTCATTAGTGGCAGGGTGAATTAGTGTCACAACCTAACCTCATGCAGGTGATGAAGGTCACTGACCCACTGCCAAACCGGTCCTGCTGCATGGTGTTGCAGGCATCTCCACGTCTGTCGCACGTGCTCAGTATGAGTCTGCTCTCATTTCTAAAGGTCTCACAGGTGGACCTGCTCGTTCATTGGAGCTGCACGACGCTGGGCTGTGAGCACACGTCCCACTACAGGATGTCAGGGCCTCGCGCTACCCTCACAGAGTCTGTTTCCGACAGTTTGTGGTTGAAACACGTAGTCGAGGAGCAAGGTGGGGGTCATTTCGTAGGGCTCTGGCAGCGCTCCCCTTGCTTCTTCAGCACTGTCCGTCTGACCTCCACACTCTGGAGACTGGTTCAAAAACTCTTCGGTGGAGGAGCTGGACAACCTGTGCAACCTGGGGTGAATCGGTCTCTCCATTGCACCTGCTGTCACTGCTGAAATGGACCCACACTGGTTTCTGCTTCCTAAAAAGGCACAGTGGTATCCCTGGAGTTTAACTGACTGCGAGTCATGCTGTGATGATCATGTGTTCCCTCAATATTTTTGAACAGTTCAGATCTCTTATTAAAAGGATCCGACCTCAATCACCTGATGCTCTGACGCTTCAGTAACGCCCGCGTTTATTTTGTACAGGACCTCTGAAAACGTGTTCTTTTTATTCTTAATGAGCCTGTACCTCATGGTACCTCATTCTTATTTATTTGTACATAAATGGATAGTTTTTCTTTTTACATCAGATTACATCAGATTTGTGCTTTCTCTGTGACCCTACCATCTTAAAAAAAAGGTGAATTTTTCTGTAAAATCTGCTGCAGAGAGAGGGTGACTGAAGACGAAGATGTGTCACCTCCATCAGCAGCCCTCCGTTATCCGTGCAGTTGCTTTAATCGCCCAGCAACACTTTCTCCTCTGTCAGGACAAACTTGCGCACCGCCGCCTCGTGCCATCAATCAGCAGAGCAGAAGCACATTACCAACAAACACACCCGGATACTGTCTGTGTCAGGGGTTTCTCTGCTGTATTTTGGGGGCTCGGAGTGCTGCTGCCGCTGCCTCCAAGTGCTGAGGGTGGCGTTTTTGCAGCGGGAATGAGGCTTTTCCCCTTAGAGCAGGAGTCAGGAGCTGGATGAATGATGGATGGCAGTTACTGGAGCATTTTGAAGAAATGGTAGAGATTTCTGGCCCAGCTTCACCCATCCCATAAAGAGAGAGAGGATGAAAACTGATAGGTTAAAGCTCTGAATCCAAAATCCAAAGCAACCAATCACGCATGTCCACAGAAACATCCTCTAATGAGGCAGCTACAAGTACCATCTTTTTTTGTCCATAAACTGGAGAAGTTCAGTTTCTTTGTCCTTTGCAGCAGGTATAGAATTAACTCCATCAGCATTTTGATTGGAGTATATGCTTATATATATGTATAAGTATATAAATGAGAGGAAGACTCAGGGAGGAACAGCTGGGGAAACACTGTGGAAGCTTATTGACAGAAACACGAGATCCAAAAGTGAAAAATCACCACTCGATTCAAAGACGTGATGCAGGAAATAAAGGCTACGGTAAAGAAAGCATAGAACACAGGAACCCAGAAATCCAACGACACCAGGAACGACAATAAAACCTCAAAAGAAGCCCAAACTCATTCACTCAACAGACACTTTATTAGGTACACCTTCCTCGTTTTTCCTTAAGAGCTGCTTTAATTCTTCATGGCACAGATTCAACATGTTGTTGGAAACATCGTGCAAAAGTGTGCCAAGAAAATATCCGCCCACACCATTACGCCACCATCGGCGGTGTGAAGCGCTGATACAATGGCAGGTTGGATCCATGCTTTCAGAGTGTCACCCTACCATCTCAATGCTGCAGCAGAAATTGAGACTCATCAGAGACTCTTAAATATTTGAGCTAACGAGCAGTTAAACGAGTGTACCTAATGAAGTGACTGGTGGGTCACAAAGAATTCAAAATAAAGCAAAACAAGTCGGCGGTCTTTGTATCCATGTTTGCATCCTTTTCCCAGAGTGTTTGAATCTTCGTGCCAAACCCCCTTATCTGGTTATTTCTAACAGTATATCTGCATTATTGATACAGTTTGGTGAATCATGTTTTAAATATCACAGGCGACTGGGAACAGCTGTGTTCGGTGCTGCGATGACTCTGAAGCCTGTCGCTGTGTGTTTTTGTCTTTGTCATTGTGAATCAGGGCAAACCGTACGTGTTCGACCGCGTGCTGCCTCCCAACACGACGCAGGAGCAAGTGTACGACCAGTGTGCCAAGCAGATAGTGAAAGGTAAGAAGCTCTAAACTGAGGAAGCATAGCTCTTTATGTAACCGTCATCTATCGAACATCTGCACACAAACTTAATCTGCTCTTCATCCTTTTTCATTGTTGCTTTACATAATGGAGCCATGGAAATGAGTGTTTCCCGGAGCAGCAGGGCTGATGCTGGAGTTTTGGGGGGCTGACATTCATTTTTAGGCAGTAAAACGACATCATTACTATTAGATATTGTATGCATATGTACATGTAATATGTTAGAGTTGTATTCATAGGCCAGCTATTTAAAAATGTCTCCTCGCACCAGGGTTTATATGTTCCAGCTGTATGCCACGAATCCATGAATTTTCTTCTTCCATTCCTGCCTGGCAGCTCCATCTTTAACATCCTTCGTCTATCATATGGGTTGTCCCTCTTCTGCACATGCTCAAACCTTCCCTTACCTCTCTAACTTTGTCTCCAAACCCCGAGCTGTCCCCCTGATCATTTCTAATCCTGTCCATCCTGATCACGCCACACCTCCTATACACTGAAGGTAAAAGCACTCCTGCACAGGACACACCTGTGCGTCCTTCTCTTCCAGCCTCCTCTCTCCTCTAGATGCATTTTAGGAGTTGAAATGTCCTTCAACCCAGCGTACAGTTACTGGTTTCTAGTATAACCTCTGAAAAATTTCTGCAGGTAGCATCAGTAGATGGATGCGCTAGTGTTTATAACTGTGAAGATTTAGTGCTCATTTACGGAGAAGCAGGCTGGACTGTGTCTGACTGTGTCTGACTGTGTCTGACTGTGTTGTTGCACCCTTGTGTCTTTGTGCTACTCCAGATGTGCTGGGCGGCTACAATGGGACCATCTTCGCCTACGGGCAGACGTCCTCCGGGAAGACCCACACCATGGAGGTGAGACGCTCATTAGATCATGTGTGCTCTTAAACCCTAGTGACCAGATGTCAGCTGCAGAGGGGTTTCATTCCTTTGAAGTTACAGCTTTTTTTACATAAAGGTGACTAAAGACTATCAAAGTGACAGCAAATACTCTCTAAAGCCCTTTGTGTAAAGACGTGCGGTGACTTTTATTTGGAACTTTCAAACAGTTGGCGGATTAGAGCACAGCGGGCGTTGTGTAACAGGCTTACTGCCAACAGAAAACCCACTCAGGCTTGTGTGAGGGGTAGGATTCAAGGAATCAAAAGCTGGTAAGGTTAACATCTTGGAAAAGCCTTTAATCATCACGTGTGTTTTAAAGGAGTGAAATTGAATGAGTAGAAAATGGTCAGAGGAGCTCTTCGTCATTTCGACATGTCACCAGTGTAACTTCAGCTCGGAGTCTAATCCTCAAGCCTGGTTTTAATTCTCTGATCTGATCTCTGCTTCACCCTCTTTAAGTCAAACTTTTAAGTCCACTTCTGAACCCAGATGTTCTTTTTTAAATTTCTTCATTTAAAAAGGCATTAAAATTGGGCTTTGCAGCCCCAGGACCTGGGTACCTTGCAGCCATTGAGTCGACCATGAATTCGTCTCGATACCAAAATATTCTAGAGTAAAATGTAAACTGTCCTGCTACGTGAAACCTTAGAACTGACAGAGGATGCACTTTCTTTGCAACGCGCCTGTTCAGCTAATAACAATGAAAATCAGTTTAAATCATATAGCACAAGGTCATGACAACAGTCAACTCAACATGCTTTATATCGCAACATCCTCTGTGAGCAAGCAGTTGGGGACTGTGGGTAAAAATAACCCGCCGTTTATAACAGGAAGAAACACGGCAACATGCTGGAGCTGTTTGGGGAGTTAAGAGGAAAGAGAAACGAGAACGAGAAAATAGTCACCATTTGTTGGTCACCAGCGGACGTTTCAGGCTCCGGTTGCCTAGGAAACCCTCTAATGTATTTACCACCCCCAACATATGGCAGCATTAAAGAGCCATGTTACACACAAAATGATCAAAGGGAGAAAAAGACTGCAAAAACTGCATCGCTGTAGTATAACACATGACTGTTGTTGTGTTCAGGGCAAACTGCATGACCCGCAGCTGATGGGAATCATCCCTCGCATCGCCCGCGACATCTTCGACCACATCTACTCGATGGACGAGAACCTCGAGTTCCACATCAAGGTGAGAACAGGAGTCATTCACAGTTTACCTCCTGAAAAATGAACTAAATGTCAGGTGTGAGCCGCTGCACTGGAGACCTGCAGCCTGTGGCCGTCTCTGAGATGTTTGTTAACAAAGTCTGTGAAAGGAAAAGCACACACAACCCAAAAATGTGAAATAAAAGGTAAATGATTGAGTTTACGGTGCAGTAAAGACCTTAAATCTGACAAAGTGAGGAAGATGAATTCATGTTCAGGACAATGAATTAAAAGTTTTTAGATTTGTGAGACAGATGCGTTTCTCTATGCAGGTCTCTTATTTTGAAATCTACTTGGACAAGATCCGAGACCTGCTGGACGGTAAGAGAGGCTGTTTATCTGAAGCACTCAGCAGTCTGTTTTTCTTAAACTGTGACTTTTGTGATCTTTTTTCTGTCTGAAGTGTCAAAGACGAACCTCTCCGTCCACGAAGACAAGAACAGAGTGCCCTATGTGAAGGTTTGTGAGCTGAGCGAGAGCTGTGACACAGTCATGTGTTTCCTGCATGAGGATCCTGCAGGTTTAGCTTTTCATTTGTTAAGAAGTGAGGAGGTTTATATATTTAATCTCCCCGTGTGCCTGAGCTGGAGCTTCAACTCAGCGAATGTTTAATTTTAGATGAACGAATGATTCAGTTACCGTTTTAGTCGTCTGTGCAGGTTTACTACACCTAAAACCCTTAAAACTGCGATTTTTCGGTCTTTTCTTTATCCTGTAATCGATGCTCATGTCCACACTGGCTGCTGCAGGTCATGATTCTCCTTTTCAGGGCTGCACTGAGCGTTTTGTGTCCAGTCCAGAGGAGGTCATGGACGTCATCGATGAGGGCAAATCCAATCGGCATGTAGCAGTGACCAGTACGTATTTTTATATGTCTGCTTCAAAAGCGGCACATTTTTAAAAGGTTTCCTGGTATTCATTTCTACACTCACTGACCACTTTATTAGATACACCTTGCCTGTGTCATGTTGGGACCTTCTGTTGCCTTCAGAGCTGTCGTGAATCGTCATAGATTCGACAAGTTGCTGAGACATTCCTCAGATTTTGGTTCACACTGTAGAGCAGCTGGTCTATCCACACAGACTCTCTGTGGTGGAGCTGTACAGCATCAGCAGCTGCTTCACCTCCAGTTTGTTCCTCCCGAGAAACTCTACAGGAGGTGGAGTCACTGTTGGGCCTTCCTCAGCACTGTAACTGTGTCTTCTGACCAGGAGAGGTCCACAGTGATATAAGGCCCCATAATTTGAAAGAGGAAACCTTCGCCATGCAGTCACCTTTAAGATTGAGGAGGGTAGGGGCAGTTTCTCCCTGAAGTCGATGATGACCTTCTTCCTTTGTGTTGATGGACGCGTTCGCTCTGCTCATCCCTGCAGGCTGAGGTGGTGGGAGGAGGTGGCGCTTAAAGTCAACAGGTTCTGTGTTTATGGAAGTTAGGCGAGGGGCAGCCAATCTGCTTCGTTCGAAGCTGGGAATTGTTCAAAACTATTTGTATGGAGTCCCAGAATAAACACAAAAGGTCCTTTAACCTCTTAATATCCATCAAGTTAGCGGCAAAGCCCTAAAAGTCAGGATTTTAGCACAGCTCCTGAAACTTCTTAAGGAGGCAGAAACACCTCAATATCTAGATTTAAATGTTTTAATTTCACCTGAAATCTTAAAAGAAGATAAAAAGCCTTTTCTGGTTTCTTTTCTGCAGTTGTAATGATTTTTTTGCTTAATTTTGTAGACATGAACGAGCACAGCTCTCGCAGCCACAGCATCTTCCTCATCAACATAAAGCAGGAAAACGTAGAGACGGAGAAGAAGCTGTCTGGGAAGCTCTACCTGGTCGACCTGGCTGGCAGCGAGAAGGTTGGTCCAAGCGAGATCAGAAACGTGTCGTTAGGGTTTGCTTCGAGACTTTCCTGAGCTGTAAAGCTGATTGATAAGCTGTTCGATCGCTGTTTGGTCAGGTGAGCAAGACGGGAGCTGAGGGGGCGGTGCTGGACGAGGCAAAGAACATCAACAAATCTCTCTCAGCGCTGGGAAACGTCATCTCAGCTCTGGCTGAGGGCACCGTAAGTCCATCCCACTTCTGTTTCGTATGTAAGTGAAGAAGTATGAAATATTAGAAAACCTCAGCACAGCTGTATTTTCTTTTCTTCAGAAAACCCACGTGCCGTACAGAGACAGTAAGATGACTCGGATCCTGCAGGACTCTTTGGGAGGGAACTGTCGCACCACCATCATCATCTGCTGCTCACCGTCCATCTACAACGAGGCCGAGACCAAGTCCACGCTCATGTTTGGACAGAGGTATCTGCGAGCTCTTCTGTCTAATGTACTCAGTACTCAGGGCAATGTTTTTTACTTTCTTTTTTCCATTTTTTCCATAATTAATGCATAAAAAAACAACAGAAATTTTAAAAAGGAGTCTTTCATCCTTTAAACAGCTAAGATTTTACGTACCATCATATATTTCATCTGAAGTAACCACAACCACCTCATATTTTTAACAGAGGAAGAGAAACACAAAAAAAGTTTCCTCCTTCATAGCTATGTTCATCAAAGACCTCCAACTACCCTGCCCCTTCCCTGGTACTGCTCCCCGAACCCACTGCACCACTACTCCTATGCAGTGGAACCACATCCGCCACATACTTTCAGATACTTTTTGTCCCACTTTTTGTCCAGTTTCCTCAAATTTTTTAAGGCCACACTGCACACACTGCTCATATATGTCAAGTTTTTAGCTAATAGCTCTCTGGGAATCACCTTGTTGATCCAAAAATACTAGTTTATGTCTGTCAGACTGTGTTATCTTTGGTATTTTTCACAGATTCAACCAAAGAAATTGGAGCAAATTATGATTAGACTGAGGCTACGTCCACACGTACACGGGTATTTTTGAAAACGGAGATTTTCCGTTTTCGTTTAAAAAAAAAAAATCCCGTCCACACGTAAACGCAAAAACGACGGAAAACGCTGCTAGGAATGTGCCAAAGCAACAGGTGGCGATATATTCCTAACTGTGTAGAAATGTTGGCCAATCGGAAGTCTAGAAGCCTGGGTGGGAAATAGTAAACAAAGATGGCGCATAGAAGCAGAGCTGAGTACTATGTGTGGAGGGACAGAAACTGTGTGTATATGTAAGCATGTAAACACTACAAAGAGTACAATTAACAGTATTTTGTCTAAGTACGCCATTGTAGAAATTCATTTCACCGAAACAATAACGTGGCGCACAGTGTGACGTCAAAAAAGGCGCACACCTTTGACCTGCGTGTTCTCTGTTTTCCTCATCCGCACCTAAATGCAAAAACAGAGTTTTCGAAAATCTCCACCCTGGCAGGAAAATCTCAGTTTTCAGTGACCAAAAACGGCGTTTACGTGTGGACGAAAGGTGCAAACGCATAGAAAAATCTGCGTTTTCAAAAATACCCGGGTACATGTGGATGTAGCCTGAAAATGAGTTTAAACAGCCAAAGACATTCAGAAAGCCTGGAGAACTGTTGCTCGAGACCACCTTAAAAATGACAAGAAAGTCTGACTCAGGTTATATAAACCTTTCCTCACATACAGCTGTTACGAAGCAGGAAACTGGATCCTCAAATAGCTACAAGACAAATTTTTTGCACTTCTGCAAACAAAAAACTTAACAATTACAAAAGAAAAAGCTAAAGTCAGTTTTGAATCAAACACAGAGTTGCTGTTTGTGTTTGTGGGAGAGTATCAGTGTATCCAGTCCATCTGCGAAGGTACACGGTGACTCATTTGGTGCAAACTAGCAAACAGATGGCTCCGAGATTCCCGCTGTGCATCTGGGTTTATTCTTATTTATAGACTCCGACACTGCCGCCTTCTTGTTTTTACGTCATGTAAAACTGAGAATAATGAACATTTTCTATTTTCTACACAGTTTTTTCCTCACACTTCATTCTGAAGCACATTTCATTCATCTGCTTCACTTCTTTAGATGTTACAGTTTCACAAAAGTGACGCGTCTGTAAAGATCCTCGACAGCAGCGATGTAATCATTTATTTTAAAAATCAAGCTGAAATCCACTGAGCCTTGATCAGTGAGTTCAGACTGAGCAGTGTCACAGAGGCTGATTACTGTGCAACCATCTGCCCTCGGCTAAGAGGAAATTCAATTAATTAGGAGATTTCCATCATGAGAGGAAAGATCGAGAGGGGCGGAGGTCCTCTGGGAGAAAGCAGACTCACACATGTAGCATGTGGAAGTGACTGTATTAGGTGGAAAGGTAGAAAACACACTCAGAAACAGCTGTAAAATGTGTTGCTTTATTTCCACTAAGACAGCAAAAACATGCTTACCTGCAGGGAAAAGGGAAAAAAGGCGTAAACTCTTGGATGCTCCGACTACTTTCATCTGATCATGCTGAATGTTGCAAACTTGCATGGTCAGATGATCAAATTCCTGCCTGTGTGGGGTTTTTTTTGTAAGCTCTTGTTTTCAGCAGATGGTTTTTAAAGAAGTAGAAACTAAGTAGTGGAAAATAAACCTGAAAATGTTGCTTTTAATCATTGTAATCAGGGGTTAACTTGACATTTGGTGGGCAGGGGAAGACTGAGATCCTGTGTAGCTGTGCAGCAGGAATAATCACAAAGAAGTCACCAGATTATTAGTTTTCTTTGATTTAAGCTGCTGAATCAAACACACTTTAATAGATGTTACATGAATGTGGAACATAAAGGTGGAATTTGATGCCTGAAACTTAATCCCAATCTAACCCCTGTCCATTACTGTAAGATGAACCACACTTAAAGTTCAGCTCAGTATTTTGATTCGATTACTATATTAACTCAATGAGCTGGAACAAACTGTCAATAGAGTCCAGAGAAGAAGTCTAACAATCAGGCACGATGAGATTAATTAAAAGACTAATGCTTACTGTCTGTGTCCGCTCAGAGCGAAGACCATCAAGAACACAGTGTCTGTGAACCTGGAGCTGACGGCCGAGGAGTGGAAGAAGAAATACGAGAAGGAGAAGGAGAAGAACAAGAACCTGAAGAGCATCATCCAGAGGCTGGAGGCTGAACTCAACCGCTGGAGAAACGGTGAGATTAAAGCGGCCTGCAAGGGCTGATTAAAGGAAACAGCTGCTGTGAGCTCCTGAGTGTTGATCGGTGGTTACGCAGTGGGATGTTGGGTTTTTGTGACAAACATACATCGTTGTTGTATCGTACAGCTCCACAGTAAGTTATGAATAGTTAACGTGCTGCCTTTCTGCTTCCTGTGCACTCATTTCTATACCTTTAAATAAATGATATTTCAAAGGGAACCCACCTTCTGTTGCACAGTTGCTGCTTGGTGGGACTTATTACAGAGTCCTGATTAACAGACCTCAGCCTGAGATGTTTACCAAGCTAATAAAGAGGCCCTAGTTTTACAGCAACTGCTTTGTGAACGTGTGATGGGAAGGTGCACGAAGGGTGGGATGGACAGTCGTGGTGAAGACAGAGCCAAGAGAGAGTTTTTGATTTAGCAGGCGAGTGATCCACGGTCCAGCCCTCACCGATGGCCATGAGCTCTGGGTAGTGACTAAAAGAACAGGGTTGTGGGTACAAGCTGGACTCCCCAGAGGTAGTTTGGTGGCCTCCTCGACGCCTCTCTTTGGAGTTCTTCTGGGCACGTCGACCCTTCATGAACTCCAGAGGAGGTGTGGAGAACAGAAGAAGAAGCTCCTCTGCCTTGCCTCCTTAGTGTTAGAGATCCAGCAAGGTTACGTTCTCGTGCTGACGCTGTTCGGCATCTCCTTCCCTACGCTCCTGAACTATCCTTTAGGTGCCATGATTTCGTATCACAGCGGGACCTCCAAAGCCTGATAGATTGGTTTACCCAGACCTGTAAGGACTTTGGGCAGACTTTAAAATTAAAGGCTGAACTTACACCAGGCAGGAAAAAAGTGCTCAACACGTTCTATTTGAGACGTCTCAACATGAGAAACAACCACAATAAGGGGATATCAGAGCACCCCATCCAACTGGTGGAGACGTACCACCTGGGAAGAGACCCTCGATAGACCCAGAAGTCACTGGAGTTATTAAATATTTCATCTAGTGTTGATGAGGAAAGGACGTCTGGAAAGACCTGCGCAATCTGCGACCTGACTCTGGATAAATGGAGGGAAATGGATGGATGTTTTGTAATGACTCACAACACAGAAAGCAATCAAAGTGGAACATCATCGGCAGCCTCCTTTCCTTACATCTTAACATGTGAATACCTAGCAGAGCGTGGCTACTCGTTCACCGCTCGTCTGCTTATTTCTCTGTGCACCGAGGTCTGAAGGACCTGAGGAGTGGTGACACTATTTTCCTGAGATTGGATTGGTCTGTAGGAGCTGTTGCTCTCCAATCTGGAGCATCATCAGCTTCAAAAAGTTGAAAAGCTTTGACACTTTATCACCCGAGTATCTTACAGACTGTCTGGACTCATTTTGTCATATTTGGCTGTAAAATTACAAAATAATTCTCATCTTACATGAACCATTTAAATTTCCGCTGTAGCTCAAACTGTGAAATGCACATAGTAAAATCTAGGAGTTGCTGATTTTTCTGTGTTCAGACTTTGTGAATGCTTTGCTATACAGTGATACGCCGAATATTCCAGTAAAACTCGCCTTCTCTTTTTTCTAAAACCGTTTGAACGTTCATTTAAAATGAGTTTTATTTATACAGCGACAAATCACAACAACAGTTCCCTTAACCTGTTAGCAGTCGGACGTACCGCCCACGGTACATTGGATGGTTTAGGGGACTAATTGGACTGCTAAGGGGTTAAGGTACTTTATATTCTGTAAGATAAAGACCCTAACGTAATACAGAGAAAACCTCAGCAGTCAGACGACACCCACCCTGTGAGTAAGCATTTGGTGACAGTGAGAAGGAAAAACCCCTATTAAAGCTATCAGAGATTAAAATGAATTGCTGATGATTAAATAGCGCAGTAGTGGTGTGTACTAGTAGCTGCTACTTTGTTTTTAGGAGACTTTGACCTTTGAGAGTCAGATGCTCTCTGTGACACACACACACAGAAAATGTTTTTGTCTCCATGCATGCCAACAAGCAGAAATAAAAAAAAAAAGTGGGCGGCGGCCTGAGAAACTCGAGTGTCATTAACCTCACAGGCTCTTTTAGGTAGCTGTGTGTGCACATGCTCAGTCTGTGACGTCTGGAAATCACATGTAATTACTGCTCAGATTAATCTGCCGCTGTGATAATGTGTGGGGTCTGATTGGCTCACGCCTTGTCCTGCCCGAATGTTGTAGATTCTGCATAACCCCACCATGAAGGACGCCACGCTGCCTGTGTGTGTTTCCCCACCACACTTCCTCCCTCTCTGCTGAGACTGCAGGGTCTCCTTCACAGCATCCTCGCCCTTTTTCCCCCATTTCTGTTGCATAGTAACCACTCCTCCTCCTCCTCTCAGTCCTTTCTTTGCTTTAATGCCTCCCCGCCTTCACCCCCCTCCTCCCCCTTTCTTTCTGTGGCCATTGTTGCATTTTAATGTTTAATTCCCCTGTGGATGCTGATAACACTCCCCCTCCTTAGCATCAAATCAGCTCAGCTGCAGCAGCCAAAGCTCCTGACATGTAAATGCAGCGCTCTCACACACACATACACACACATTGATACAGTGTTTGTGGTTTGAGTCAGCCGCTGGCTTCCTGCCCTGCGGCTCTCCGCCTCCTTCAGTCTGTCCTCGGCTCCATCTCCTCATTAGCTGCTGGCTTTTATCACCAAACCCACAGTTAGAAAATCAATAATCACACAAACACTGGTGAAGTCAGCATGATTTCACTCAGTCAGTATAACTGATGCAGTTTTCTCCTGAAGGAAAATCATCAGAATTGTAAAAATAGTAATAATAATAGTAAGTTGTGTGCTGGCTTACAAACGTAGCCAGCCCCCAAACCTGATGTTTCAGGAAATGCATCAGGTTTATTTTAATTATCTGATAATAACTTATCTGATTTACTTTGATAAACTACAGTATCCTGGTGTTATCTTGACTGCAAGGCAACAATTGTTCCTTTTATGTTAAAGGGCTGCTGCCAGGATTTACTACCCTACATGCACGTTGCAGATGATTAATTTGGTTTTGTGCATTACAGTAAAACTTTAGTCTCTAACGTCCAAAAGAATTTGTGGTTTGTTCAGATGCATCTTTGCAGACCCTAAGCTATGCTGCTGTGTTCTTTTCAGAGGGTTGAACCCTTCTTCCCACTTCATTTATGAAGCCTGCTTGAGCATCAACATCTGGTTTGTTACTTCAAAATGCGTAAACTGAGGCTTAGTTATTGCACTTATTACAGTATTTACACTTTTATCGTGCTTTAAAAATTCTTCCACAAAATTAAGATTATATGATGCGACGCACTGAGGCATGATGTAACAACTATGGTGCTACTCGATGTGACACCATACCACAACATATGGCACGATCAGAGTGTTTAAAACATCGTCACACTAACATGTGTGTATATAATGGATGCATGAGTAGAATATCTAACAAGTGAGTTCCTATCGCAGGGGAGAACGTTCCTGAGGAGGAGCAGCAGAGCTCTAAAGATCAGAGGAGCGGCGAGCCGTACGACAACACTCCCATCATCGACAACCTGCTGCCAGCCGGAGGAGGTGTCTCCGTCTCCGGTGACGAGAGGAGGAAGTACGAGGAGGACGTAAGGAACCTGTACAAACAGCTGGATGACAAGGTGAGCAACAGGACGAGGCTAAAGCTGGTTTATTGTAAACATGTCACATACAGCTATCTCAGGATGGGTTTTATTCATCTTCTGTCTGGAACAAAGTGTTCTAGCTCCTCCCCCTTCCTTCTGATTGGCTGCCCCTCATAAAAAAAGATTTGAATGGCAGGTGGTTCACCATATATGTGAACCACCTGCCTATATATATATCATATAGCTGATATATACCTATATGATGAACCACAGAGCCAAGAGTGTTCGATCAGTCTGAAGCCTGAGCTTTGGGCTCACAGGGATTACATGTACACATACTGCCCTTGTTATTTAAACAATTCCTGAAAATCTGTATATTTTATTGCCGCTGACAGGATGACGAAATTAACCAACACAGTCAGCTGGCGGAGAAACTCAAGGAGCAGATGATGGATCAAGAAGAGGTTTGTCTCCCAGCTCAGGTTAATAGTAATGATAGAGCATGCCTGCGTATTTCCTCTGACACGTGTTTTTTTTTTTAAATCTGTGCAGCTGCTGGCGTCAACACGACGCGACTATGACAAGATCCAGGAGGAGCTGTGCCGGCTGCAGACGGAGAACGAGCTAGCCAAGGAGGAGGTGAAGGAGGTGCTTCAGGCCCTGGAGGAGCTGGCAGTTAACTACGACCAGAAGAGCCAAGAGGTGGAGGAGCGAAACCAAGCCAACGCGCAGCTGACCGAGAAGCTGCAGCACAAGACGGTGGGTCGTGACTTTCCTGAATACTACTAGATTACACATGAAGTGCAGCGATGCAGAGGCATGCTGACAGGCTGTCTTTGTGGCGGCATCCTCAGGCGCTGCTGTCGGTGCTTGAGAGGGAGGTGAGTCAGCTGCAGGAGCTAAACGGCCTGCAGAGAAAGCGTGCTGCCGAGGTCCTCAACCTTCTGCTGAGAGACCTCAGTGACATCGGCGCCATCATCGGCACCAGCGATGTCAAGACGGCTGCGGTGAGCACCCACGTCCACATGACAAAAACCTTACCAACCTTACCCGAAACAGACACATGACCCTTTAACCCGGCCCGTCCTCCTTCCCTCTCAGTGCTCAGAGATGAAGGGGAACGGCTCGGCGCTGGAGGAGGACTTTACCGTTGCTCGCCTCTACATCAGCAAGATGAAGTCCGAGGTCAAGTCTTTGGTCAACCGCAGCAAGCAGCTGGAGAGCGCCCAGGCCGACGCCCACCGCAAGATTCAGGCGAACGAGAAGGAGCTGGCGTCCTGTCAGCTGCTCATCTCCCAGGTAAGCGTCACCTGACGTCGTCACGCTAACAGAGTTCTCCTGGGGTTTGGTAGAGTGTCAGTCACGTGTTGCTGTCCCTGCAGCATCAGGCCAAGATAAAGTCTCTGACCGACTACATGCAGAACATGGAGCAGAAGAAAAGGCAGCTGGAGGAGAGTCAGGACGCTCTCACCGAAGAGCTCGCCAAACTGCACGCTCAAGGTCGGTCCTAGAAACCTCCACAGACTCTTAAAAACCAGACTCATTTATACAGTTTATACAGTATGAGCACAGCTGACATGTCATCCCACCCCGAAAAAAAGAAAAGCTCAAAACAACAAAGACAAAGATGTTTCTAATGTATGAGACACCACTTTATCCTTTTAGTTGTTGCTCATTCAATAACCATTATTTAATCAGTGTGTTTTTTAGGTTTTCTTTATACCTCAGTTACACACAAAGAAAGCACTGGAAGGTCTTTAATTTGAACTTTATCCATCACTGGAGTATCACATAGATTAGGACTTAACGACACTGTATCTTACAACATGCAGGGTGCTCTGAGCACGAGTGGCCAGTATATTATGTCTGAGTATCACCACAGGGGCTAAAGTGGGATCTGGCAGGCGGGGGGACCTTATGATCAGGTGCATCAGTGCTGTGTGGTGAAAATAGTTACTCAATAATAATAATGATGATAATGATGATAATGATTATTATTTGCTGCTCTATCACTAGCTAGACACTGAAGTATCACAACTACGACTTCATTTGCATCTGCACCATGAACGCATCACATGAAGGTATAAGTGCGCCGTGGGATTTTATTATTTTATTATTACTGAGCAAATGTGTCCATGCAGTCAGTCTGCAGCACATAAGAAATAATTGCCAGTAATGTGCATTAAACTGCCATTCTGAACCTTTGAGGCCGTCTTTAACCCCTGCATCCACATTAGTCAAATTTCACATGTGTATTGTGTGTGCACTGTGTTCATGCGTTCCAAGCATCATTACACTTTCTTTGGTTTTTGCTTTTGTGGAAGAACACAGTCACCTTATGACATATCCAGGCGATGGATGTGATATAGTCTTGCACATCAGAGGTTGTTTTTTTTTTTACGATTAAGATGAATTTGACAAAAAGGGTGGGCTGAGTAACTACGCTATGAAGGTGAGGGTTTGTCTTTGGTTGTGTTTGAGTCTGTGAGTCTATGTTTTGACCCCCGGTGGGAAGTCTTTTGTCTGTTTCATCAGACTTGATTTAAATTGTCTTTCAGTAAAATATCTCATAGTTTGAAGTTTGAGAGTTTAGCTTTGTGAGTAAATTTGCCTGCAGTTTCTGACACAGCACAATTATTCTGTCTTTAGAGAAAATGCACGAGGAAAAGGAGAAGGAGGACATCGGCAGAGCGGGCGGAGACGATGACATCAAGGTAAAAAAATACAGCACAAAATTGATTTTGATTTTTACAAAATATTAAAATCTGGAACCTAACAGAGTTCAGCACAGTCTGAACTCTGTTAGGCAGCTTTCTTGTTGTTTCTTTAAGTCGTCTTCAGGAATAGTTCTTCGGGCTTATTGAAGGACATTCAAAGCTCTTCTTTGGATGTTTCTGCCTTTTGTTCTGTTCTCTGTCAACATGATCCCACACTGCTTCAGTAATGTTGAGGTCCGGGCTCTGGGGAGGCCGATCCATGACTGATAGTGCTCCACTGTGTGTTTTTACTGCATTAACAATGTGTTTGAGATCATTGTCACGCTGAAAAATGAAGCTGTTGACAATCATATGCTTTCCAGATGATTTTGCATGGTGTATCAAAATCTGATGGTGCTTCTCTGTTTTCATAGTTGATAATTTTAACAAGGTCTCCACCACCACTGGCTGAAATGCAGCTGGAAAAATGCTTCTAAAGATGATCAGGTACAAGCACTGGACTGCAAATGAGTGAAAAAGCAGCCAATGTCCAAATAAAACCTTTGAAAGAGCTTCAGAAAGCCTGAGAACTATTGCTCAAAAACAATTGAAAAAAAAGAAAATCTGGCGGCTTGGAAGTAAAGCGTAAAGACATGAGGGTTGATTCAAGACATTTGTTCATATTTGTTCATGTTCCAGGTCAGATTGAAGGCAGGAGATCCAGTAACTAGTAGTTAACTACTAGTAGTTAACTACTAGTTACTGTTAACTAGCTAACTAGTAGCTGAGACACTTCCAAGTAGCCTGATTTAAAGTGTTAGACCTAATACAGTCTAACACAGTCCATGTCATAGGTTTATCCAGTATTTAAGTGCTCCAGACTGACCCAGAAAAACGAGCAGCTTCTAACAGGAAGCTCTTGTATTTTGGATCATGGATTTGGGATTATCGTAGGGTTATTTTAGTGCGTCATGTTTCTGTTCAGTGTCCTCTGAGGGAATAATGTTGCCAACCTCAGCTCTAATGTGTTTTTATGTCTTCAGAAAACGCTGGAGGAGCAGCTGGAGAACCACAGGGAGGCTCATCAGAAGCAGCTCAGCCGCCTGCGGGATGAGATCGAAGACAAACAGAGGATGCTGGACGAGCTCAGAGAGTGAGAAAACATCAGCAAACGCACACACTGACGCACACAAACCAACTCTGAGGATGTAACAGCACAGCAGGGGGGAGACGATGGGAGATTAGGGGAGAGATATCACAGGGAAACCCACAGATGTGCTCAGGTTTTAGATTTGAAACCGTTCTACACAAATCCTGATCTTTTCAGACGAGCTAAGGCCATGAGCAGATACACACATATACCCATTTTAATATTCCCCTCAGCCCTCAGAGTAGGGATTTCCACTCAGGTTGTCTTCAAAGGGGGACTACTGAGGAGAAGAAGCAGCTCAGAGAACAAGTGCGAGCAAGGAGCTGCTGCCTGAAAGCGATCAAAGATCTGGGCTCAAAGTCAGCTTCTGCTTCAAAAGAAGAGTTAACATGACTAGAAAGTGACTTTCAAGGCCTCAATTTGCAACTTTAGAGCCTCCAACTAAACATGCTTCGATTCCAAACCACATTTTCTGAAACTAGAGAGCGTATTTATTAAAACAGTTTCTCCCTCTCAGTCTAAATCAGGGGCTGTTACTGGAGCAGGAGCGACTCATGTCGGATTACTACAAACTGCAGGCGGAGGAGCAGGAGAAGAATGCAAAGCTGGAGAGGCTCGTGTAGGTGAACACAAGCATCTTAGAGTTAATTTGAGACAATAAAAGTGTCACATGGTTTGATTATTGCTCTGTTTTCTGTACAGGCTGCTGAATGAACAAAGGGAGCAGGCCCGAGAGGACCTGAAGGGTCTGGAGGAGACTGTGGTGAGACTCAGTGATGGCCCCATAACTACTCTCACCTTTGAAGTCACAGCTGTTCTAACCTTAGATGTCTGTTTAGTCACATAGCAAAGCAAAGAAACTGCTGGAAGTCAAAAACAGTGCTTTGTAATATATTTAATGAGAATAGAGGCAAGTCAGAGGATTAAAGAAATGTTGTTAGTATAGTGCATCTCATTGATCCAGCTGTTCACAACTTCATCCCAAAGAGTCGTTCGGACATATTTCTTAAAAGTGCACTTCTTTTTCTTACATTTACATAAAAAGGGGAGTTTCAGTGATCGAGCCTCAAACGGCTGTGATTTGATGCTGTATAAATGGAACAGAATTTAATTGAATACCCTGAGTAGGGATGGGAAGCTGGATACTGGTGTTTCAACGCTGTGTTGAGCTTACGAAGCACTGATCTGAAGTGCCGTTCAAAACACCCACTTCACATGACCATGGCTTTTTCAGGTTTCACCCTAGGTTTGGCCGATGGTAGAATAAACCTGATGACATCTTTAATTCAGTTCAATTTAATTTAAGAGTATTTACATACAAATGAAGTCAACTGAACTGAATTAAAAGGAAAAAACCAACAGTCTGATGATTCCCTATGAGCAAATACTTGGCGACAGTGGGGAGGAAGAACTCACTTTAAAAAGGAAGAACCCTCTGGCAAAATGTAAATCCCAGAACTATTATGTGGGTCTAACTTCCAGCTTTCACTCCCTTCTTGTTCACTCAGGCCAAAGAGCTGCAAACTCTGCACAACCTGCGCAAACTCTTCGTCCAGGACCTCACTGCACGGGTTAAGAAGGTAGATCTTTTTACTGTTGACACATACGACTGGTCGTTTAATGTAGTTTGGTGTAATTTTCCTCTATTATAAGAGTGCAGAGCTTGACTGTGAGGAGGGACTCAGCAACATTGCACAGAAACAGAAAATCTCATTCTTGGAGAACAATTTGGAGCAGCTGACTAAGGTCCACAAACAGGTACGGTTGCTATACAGAGGCTGAATCCGTAAAAATATTATAAAACAGAAATGCTGAGCGCTGTGAGATACAGTGCGATAAAATAATGCTCAGTAACTTCATGCCGCCGCCCTCAGCTGGTCCGGGACAACGCAGACCTTCGCTGCGAACTGCCCAAGCTGGAGAAGCGTCTGCGAGCCACGGCCGAGCGAGTCAAAGCGCTGGAGAACGCCTTGAAGGAGGCCAAGGAGAACGCCATGAGGGACCGCAAGCGCTACCAGCAGGAGGTGGACCGCATCAAAGAGGCTGTGCGGGCCAAGAACATGGCCAGGAGGGGATACTCTGCACAGATCGGTGAGGTTTTACTTCCATTTATTATTTCACTGAGATAGATGTGCTCATGTGACAGCTGTCGGACAAAGAAGACCGGTTCACACAGGGGTGAAACCTGCCACCAGCACCGTAGCTGAACCTGGACACAAATACATTTACGAATGAGTGATAGTGTTTCTAGATAACTTCTATATGTTTAAATAACCATCTTTACGCTAAAGAGTAGCAATTTAAATTGGTTTTGCTGAAAGCATGCTGATTGGCAGGATTGTTTCTGTGGCCTGGACACTGATCCTTTTGTTGCTGTGCTTTTAAAACACAGATTACAGCCATTTGTGTTGAGAACACTATTGCAAATAGATGCTTATCAGCACAATCTGACTCAAATATTTGCAAAATTTTCCAATTTGTCTGAGAGGGATTGTAGTCAGCCCAAGTCAAACTGCAATGTTAAACCTGTTTCATAGTACAGATTATACCCTGGTGACTGAGGTGGGGAAGAACTCCACTTTAACAGGAAGTGACTTCCAGGAGAACTATACTCAGGGAAGGGCAGCCAGGGATTCAATCCCTCTGAGAGTAGCTTTTCCAGTTGATATTTCAACCAGAAAAATTGAAATATCTGAGCTGGTTTAAACTTGAAACAAACAAACAAAAAATAAAACACTGGATAAAAAAACAGACCTGAATATGGATCCCTGGGAGAAAGATAAATCAGGCAATGGATCAAGATGTTCTCTTTTTTGTGTTTTCAGCAAAGCCTATCCGGCCCGGACATCATCCACTGTCCTCCCCGATCTGCAGCTCCATCAGAGCCGGAGGTGTTGATATTCATAACAACTGAACCCACAACAGCAACATAATCCTGTGAGTGCAAAAATCTGTTTTCCATTTTACGAAATATAATTTCCTTTGCTTGTCTTACACATGGCTACCACCAGGGGGCGGTTAACAAATATATCACTTACACATAAACTGGATATAAGACAATCTCAGAGATTTGCCTCTTGTTGCAGACGACCATAAACAACTCAGTGCATGCTCACCACCCCACCTGGATCCACAAGCAACGCCCCTCCTCTTGGAGCACCAATGGGAGGCCTTCACGACAGACTGTCATCGCTCGGAGAAGCACCATCCAAACATTGTGTAAATACTGATGAGACATATTTAATTTGCTGAATGTAGATCTCAGAGGCCTCGTTTATAACACATTCGCTGTTATAAGTTTAGTTTTCTGGATCTTCTGATGGTAGATTGTCGTTATTATGCAACAGATTAAAAGCTCGAAGTTTATAAGTGAGGCCCTGTATTAGAAATGAAAATGAAGCTTAAGTTTTAGGTTTGCGCAGCTTTACAGGAGAAGGCAAACGTGTCCGTTTTTAGATAAGTATTGTTTAACGTTTTAGGAAACAACTTGCTTTTTTCCTTTTTTTCTCAGTCGTCATGATGACAGAAGTGACACCACTCGAGTGTATCTGATCAATATGAAGCTACAGCCAACAGACGGTTAGCTTAGGTTAGCATAAAAACCAGGGAATGGCAATCACAGAGATCTTTGGTCCTGTACCCTATATACCTCTTTGCAAACAGCCACTTATCATTAGGTTGGTGGAAATACACATTTTTCCCTTGTGATCCAGTGGTTGCCAGATGATTGCTGACTGGTCTCTAGGCCTATGTGGCTGACGCTACAGCAGCATCCCTCCAAAATGGCAGTCACACCGAAG